CTAACCATCAATTGTAGTATTTTTCCAAAAATCTTTAGTCAGGCTGAGTAAAGATCTCTCTGATAGCCATGCCAATTCAAATCTAAACGGGGGTGGTCCATACAAGAAACCGTCAAAGTTAAGGAGAAGAGGGACATGATCAGAAGAAATTCTTGGAACGGCTTTCATACTTATTTTTGGAAAACGAGTAACAAACTCAGAAGATAAAAGAAACTTGTTTAACGTTGTCAAAATTGGATATTTGTAAATTATGATTGGACCAAGTATAGTTAGCCTCAGTAGAAGGAAGATCAATCAATTCATGGTGCTGTATAAAACCTTCAAACAATCTCATACAAGAAGACATAGAAGGAGAAGATGTAGATTCCAAGGCACATTCGAATTTAACTTAATATTTGCTAGTTCCACAAAAAAAGCAGATCTGACAGTAGCTTTCTTAGACCCATGTGCCATAGATAAAAACCAAGAAAATTATCTAAAGGCCCTTGGAAAACAATGGAAATGTGTCTACTTGAAAACAAGTTTTGTGACGCACTCAAAACTAAAGGGTCCCAAAGGACCCAAATACCACCAAAAGAACAAGAAGCATCTAGCCCCAAAAAATCCAGGGAGTTATTTCCCCAAACCAATCTGGCAGTAAGAAGATTCGGGGCCTCTAATTTAGTTTCCTGGAGAAGCAAGAAATCAAGCATTTCCTTTCCAAAAAAAGAATATCTCTCTTGTGTTGAGCATTATTAAGGCCCTTGACATTCCAACATAACACTTTCATACTTACTGGTAACCTACTTTATGTTTGGTGACGCTTGAAGGACTAGCAAACATTGGCAGCAAAGCTTCAGAATGAGCACAAGGACATGCACTTATTTAATCGTGGTCATAGTTAATATGGCATACCAAATTGTTAAGTTCTCTTTGAATTCTTCATTGTAAGGGCCACAATTCAAATGAGCCTGATCACTAGCATCAACAGAGAGAAGGAACTCGAAAGAGACGGGAGTGCATGCCCGACGCTAAAGGCGAAGGATAGCGTCGTCCGTGTGATTTGGCCTAGTGTCGTCCATGTAACATGGACGCAACGCCATGTGCAAATGAGGGTATTGCCGCGGGTATAAGGGTCAATGATCTGCACAGGCCAGATTAACGCTACACGCGAATGGAGGCATCGTCGGGCGCATAAGGAGTAATGCCTTGCACGGTGTGAGGTAGCGCTGTCTGAGAATTGGAGAGAGAGCTAAGAAGCCTTACCATCACCGTTTGGAGTAACACCGCCTGGGCTAACGTCGTGTGTGAAAGGCAGAAGATGTAATGTCGAGCGTGAAGAGAAGCAATGCCGTGCATGAGACACATTGACATCGCGCATGGAATCGAGTACCGTCGTCTGCACACCACTGTCGACAACACTGGGCACGTGAGGAGGCCAAGCATCGGAAGTGAGAAGAGAAATAGAAACCGAAGCATCACCTTGAAGCATCATCGCGAGCATATGTCACCATTTGAAGCATCGCTGTGAGCGTGTGTCGCCATTTGGTGCATCGTCGTGAGCGTATGTCGTCGTCTGGAGCATTGCCACAAGTGTGTCATCGTCTAGAGCATCACCACTAGTGTATGTCACCATCTAGAGCATCTTCGCAAGTGTGTTTCTATCAAGAGTATCGCCACGAGCATGTGTCACTGTCTGGAGCATCGCCGCAAGTGTGTTGTCGTTAGGAGCGTCGCCGCCTAGAGTAAAGCCATGCGTAGTTGGTCAAGCGTGAAGCCGTCAGCAGAGTCAGCATTGTGCTGTACTGTCAGAGCCGCACCGTACCTTTCAGCACCGCAAGAGTGTCGCCAGCCACAACTCTTTTCTCTACCACCCCGCAACGTCAGCCATAAATGGCCTCACCTACCCACGTGCCTACAAATCGTGCCCCTCCTCACCCTTAGTGTCGTTGTCCTCTCTTTTCCTCAAACTTTCTCTTTCTAAAGAGCCTTGTGCTGCAGACTGGGAGGCTGCTGATTGGAGCAAGCGACGACATGCGCGTGAGGCCTAGGAGTGAGGCTGTCGTGGGGGAGCAAGGGGGCGACCTGCACAAGGATGTTTTGGGGGCACCGTGACCTTTAGGTAAGTGGATTTAGTGTTATGCCTTGAGATTTCCATGGAGTGATGGGATACAAACAATAGGAAAATGGTAGGTTAAAATGCAAGAACGTCGAAATGCATGGAAAATAAAAAGAATGAGTATTCATCCAATGCCAATGAACGTGGAAAAATTATAAAGGAAATCTTCTAGCCAAACTTGCTAATTTGACTTGTAAATGGTGTGTATCATGGTAGTAACATGTTAATGCTTGTGGGAAGGAGAATTTTCCCGCAACCATGAGGGCACTTTCTCTGAGATTTTCGCTAGCCAAACGGTGCCCAAACTAGTCTTAAATGAGAGATATATGTGCTCACTTCATGTTTGCTTTATATGCCATAGTAAAATGTTGTATAGATTGAAAAATGTGAACTAAAATGTTGAGACATGTCACTGTTCATAATTGCCATACATTTAAGCAATTGTGACTTGTTTTGGACCATGCCTTTGCCCTAGAAAATGGCTTCCAAATGCCCTTAAATTACCCCTATGGGTCTATGAATGGGCTTGAATTTGCATGTTTAGAGATTTTCGAAATTTTCTATAAATTTTGAGTTATACCCCACAATGCGTGAGTGTTTCACTGCCCACTATTTTTCAGCAACTATTATTTGCTCAAAACTAAATTTTCGACCAAACCAATGAGGTCCGATTTCTGTGATAAGTTAAACATTAAAATTCTTTCATCTAGCTATTAATTGAAGATGCTCCACAACAGTGTGAATGCTATATGATAATTACCATGCATATGCCACAAGGTTATGTGAATGATGCTCCACAACAGTGTGCTATGTGAAAAGTGATAAGCATTATATTGATGTGATTATTTCATGATGAAATTTTCATGATAAGTGCCAAAATGTCGTTGATGATATCCATGTGTAAATGTTATGCTACGATTCATATAACGAATGCTTCATGTTAATTACCATACTGATACGAAAAGAATGTGATTTATCTGTTACGAAGCATTGAATTGTCATGAAGGAATAGAATGCTGGAGCAAGAGATGAGGCCCTAATAATGACAATTGCGCAATGGGACACCTATTGGTAGTGAACACTGCTATGTTATATCAATGTGAGAATGGCCATTGTTTATGGATACTGGCCATTACACGATGGGTCACCTATCGATAGTGGAGACTGATGCATTGAGATAGTAATGCTGGCATGTTCCCTATCCCGCACAATGATAAGAACGGGTTAGGGGAGAAAAGAAGGTCGCTCCCTGTGATTCATGAGATGAGATATGTGATTGATTGGTTAAGACCTGTCGAACCCCCGATGGGTGTTCGGGACTGTGCGTGTGAGTTGAGAGTATTACGAAGAAGATTACCCTACTTGACATTACCCTCCCTCCTGTAGGAGGCTAGAAGTCCTAAGCGAAGGGTTTGGCTTGGCCTGATGGATAGAACTTCTACTAGCACGAATAGGTGAACTAGGGAGTGAGTATGTAATAAATGAATTGTGACTGTGATTTCTTGTAGTTGTAATGACGACATGATATTTCCTATAATTGATGCATTTTTGCTTGAAAATCCTATTTATAATTGATGTACTGATCTGATGACCAATATACGTGACCACTGCACTGCCACTGATTATGATTCAGTAAATTGTTTATTGCACATGGGCAGACTTGTTACCAAAGTATAACACCAGATCTGCTTACTGAACTTCAAAGCTCATTCCATTATTTTTTTCCTTGTAGACTGAAAGTGACCGGTTCAGAGTTAGGAGTGTGGGTTAAAGGTAAACATCAAAGCGACCATTCGGAGAGGGATTTTTAGATCTTGTAGGTAGCTAGGCTCTAAGCCCTATTTGTACTGCTTTCTTCGAACTAAGTAACTATGGGCCCTGGCACCCTGAACTCTATTGAACTACTTTTGGGGTGAAATGTAATGTAATGAAACATCTTTTCTTATGAATGAATTTGCTAAGTTTTAAATTTTTTTGGGCTTATGAGCATCGACTTTGCTTGGTTTTCTTGATTACGAAGAATAATGCGTTGAGTCTACTCTTATTCGAGTAACAAACGCTACATTGGGATCACGAACCTGCATCTGGTCGCCCTTCGTCATCAAGGACAAGGAGGTCGAGGGCGGGATCATGACAGTTATGGTATCAGACCAGCCCGGATAGGGTCTTTGGCCGGTCTTTAAAATAGCTTCGGGGTCGACAAGTGACTGGGTGCTCTTGTGGTTAGTTTGAAGATGTCGAGAGCTTATACCCAAAATGCTAGTTCCAGCAACGAGAACATTGAGTTGCTCGGTGAATTCTATACAACTCTGAGGGCTATGACCCAGATGATGAAGGAGTCGATGCCTGCATAGTCTACCTCTACCCCAAAACATAATGATAGTAGCCTTTTAGAGAGGTTTAAAAGGCTGGTGCCCCAAACCTTTTTGGGGAAAGGAGGGGTAGTGGAGGCCAAAGGATGGAAGAGACAGATAGAGAAGATTCTAGAATTATTGCACTTCTCGGATGAGCAGAAAGTTAGACTTGGGACATTTTGCTAAAAGGAGAAGCTGAGCACTGGTGGGACTCAGTAAAGAAAACCTGGAGAGAGTTAGGAACCGAACCCACCTGGGCGAACTTTCTAACGGTCTTTGATGAGAAATACTTTCCAAACTCAGTCAGGGAAAGGAAAGAAGTAGAATTTATTGAGCTCTAGTAGGGGAACATGACTGTGGAGCAATATGCCGCCAGGTTCGCAGAACTCTCTTGGTACGTGCCCCATATTATAAACATCGAGGAACGGAAGTTAGCTAAATTTGAAAGGGGCCTACGGCCAGATAAAAGGGGTAGAGTGATGTCGGCTAACCTAAAGTCGTACGCCCTGTTGGTAGACCTCATTGTGCGAAGGACAACCACAGTGCCGAAGATTGTTACCGGAAGAAGAATGTGTGCCTAAGGTGGGGCAAGCCCGGTCACCGGGCTAGGGACTGGCCTATAATGAACACTAATGACCGCCCAAAGTCTCAAGGACGAGTGTTTGCCCTCACGAAACAAGAGGCCAGGTGTCCACCTCAATGATTCGAGGTACACTCTCAATTTGTGATACTAAAGCTAGAGCCTTAATTGACTCTGGATCTTCTCACTCGTTTGTTGCACTCCAATTTGCTTGCCATTTGAACGTTGCACCTACACACCTTAACTACACCCCCGTAGTATGCACACAAATGGGAGGCTTTATGGAATACGTAGAGTGTATAGGTAGTGTAAGGTTTCAATTAATGGGCTTGACCTACCAGTGGACCTGATTCACCTAGACATTCAAGACTTTGATGTCATTCTGGGCATGGACTGGTTGTATACACACCATGCTACTATCAACTGCCATGAAAAGACCGTGACTTTTAGGAGTCCTAACCAAGTGGAGTTGCACTTCGAGGGCATTAGAGATTCTTCCCCGCTACATTTTCTCTCTACTCTCCGGGTCCATCGCCTTTTGACTAAGAAATGTGAAGGGTATCTGGCTTATGTAGTGAAAAATCGGGGTGTTCAGTCTTTGTTAGAAGGGATACCCGTGGTGAAGGAGTACCCTGAGCTATTCTCTGAAGAACTGTCGTCCCTACCTCTGGTAAGGAAAATTGAATTTGAGATAGATGTAGTCCCGGGCACCGTATAGAATGGCCCCATCTCTAAAGCACCATATAGAATGGCCCCAGCAGAGTTGAAGGAATTAAAAGAGAAGTTGAAAGAATTGTTAGATAAGGGATGTATCCGACCTAGTGTGTCACCCTGGGGTGCACCCATCCTATTTGTGAAGAAGAAAGATGGGTCCCTGAGGCTATGCATAGACTATAGGCAATTGAACCAAGTAACGGAAAAGAATAAGTATCCTCTGCCTAGAATCGATGACCTCTTTGATCTGCTCTAGGGGGCCCAGGTGTTTTCAAAGATCGATCACTGATCAGAGTATCACCAACTAAGAGTGAAGGAAGGGGACATCTCGAAGACGGCCTTTCGAACTCGATACGGTCATTATGAGCTCCTTGTGATGCCGTTCGGATTAACCAATGCCCCTGCTGCATTCATGGATCTGATGAATAGGGTGTTCCGACCTTTTCTAGATTACTTTGTGGTAATTTTTATTGATGACATTTTGGTATACTTAAAAAGTAGGGACTTACATGAGCAGCATCTAAGATCTGTTTTGCAAACTTTAAAGTCAGAAATGTTGTATGTCAAATAAAGTAAAAGTGAGTTTTGGCTTCCCAGCATAACCTTCCTGGGTAACATTATTTCCAAGGATGGGATCACGGCCGACCCCTCCAAGGTTGAAGCCGTACTTAAATGGGAGAGACCAGCAAATGTGTCTGAAGTTCATAGTTTCTTGGGGCTAGCTGGATACTACAGGCGTTTTGTGGAGGGATTCTTAAAGATAGTGCTTCCCCTAACTCAACTGACCCAAAAGAGTGTAAAATTTATGTGCTCAGAAGATTGTGAGAGAAGGTTTCAAGATTTAAGAAGAGACTGACCACTGCCCCGATTCTGGCATTGCTTGAGGGAAATGAAGATTTTGTGATTTATACTGAAGCATCTCATATGGGGCTCGGGGGTGTACTATTGCAGAGAGGTAAGGTTCTTGCTTATGCCTCCCGGCAATTAAGGCCGTACGAGCAGAACTACCCCACTCATGATTTGGAACTCACGACAGTAGTATTTGTGCTGAAAATCTAGAGGCACTACCTCGATGGGGCCCAGCTTAAGGTGCTCATGGACCACAAGAGCCTTGAGTACTTGTTTTCCCAAAAAGAGTTAAATATGAGGCAAAGGAGATGGATGGACCTACTAAACGACTATGACTACACAATTGAATACCATCCAGGCAAGACTAATATAGTGGCCGACGCCTTAAGTCGGAAAACTGTGGTCTCCATGACACAATTGATGGTGTGAGAAATGAAGTTATTGGAGGATGTAGTGGAGTGGAACCCATCTCAACTTCTTGGTGAAGAGACTGAAGTATTGTCATGTCTAAGGGTGGAGCCCCAACTCTTTCAACAAGTCCGAGTGGCTCAGAAAAAAGATCCCCAACTTATGAAAATCCTTGAAGAATTGAAGGTGGAGGGAAAAGAGGATTTCTCCATAGGTAGTGATGGACTGTTAAGGTTTAAGGCCCGAATATGGGTTCCTAATGACGAAAGTGCGAAAATGGCTATTCTAGAAGAAGCACACCACTCTCGCTACATGATACACCCTGGGGATACAAAGATGTATCTGGATCTGAAAAGAGCCTTCTGGTGGAACAACATGAAGCGAGACGTGGCGTAGTTTGTGGCTAAATGTCTAACATGCCAACAAGTGAAGGCAGAATATTAGAAACCTGCTGGACTATTACAACCCCTGCCCATACCAGAGTGGAAATGGGAACACATCGCAGTGGACTTTGTCTCTGGGTTACCAAGGTCAAGTGCAAGGCATGATGCCATCTGGGTCATAGTGGACTAACTAACTAAGGATGCTCACTTCTTATCAGTTTGCACGACCTATAAGTTGGATAAGTTGGCCCAGCTCGCCCAAAGTCAATACAAGAGTTACGCTGATGATCATAGGAGAGACCTCGAGTTTGAGGTAGGGGACCGGGTCTTCCTGAAGGTATCGCAGCCCAAGAGCATTACGATATTTAATAAGAAAGGTAAATTAAGCCCACGGTTCATTGAGCCTTTCAAAATTTTTGAAAGAATTGCCAGTGTGGCATATCGACTTGCCCTACCACTTGATTTGGCCAATATCCATAATGTCTTCCATGTATCCATGCTAAGGAAGTATTGACCTGAACCGTCCCATCTTTTGGAAATACAAGCCAATCCCACTCAGGGAAGACCTAACCTACGTTGAACGACCAATTATGATATTGGACCGAAGAGCGCAGGTGTTGCACAATAAAGAAATTCCCCTGATACGTGTGCAATGGCAATATCATACAAAGGAAGAATCAAAGTGGGAACGAGAGGATGAAATTAGGGAAAAATACCCCCACCTCTTTGATTAATGATTTTGGGGACAAAATCCTTTTTAACGGGGGGATGATGTAAGGGCTAAAATTCAACTGAGCCTGATCACTCGTGGCAGTAGAGAGAAGGAAGTCAAAAGAGATGGGAGCGCATGCCCGGTGTTAAGGGCGAATGATAGCGTCGTCCGTGTCATTTGACCTAGTGTCATCCATGTAACATGAAGGCAACGCCGCGTGCAAATGAGGGTATTGCCACAGGTATAAGGGTCAATGCCATGCGTAGGCCAGACTAATGTCGTGCACGAATGGAGGCATCGCCACAAGCATAAGGAGTAATGTCGTGCACGGCGTGAGGTAGCACTATCTGAGAATTGAAGGGAAAGCGAAAAGTCCTTAGCATCGTCGTTTGGAGTAATGCTGCCTAGGCTAACGCTGCACGCAAAAGGTGGGAGATATAATGCCGAGCGTGAATAGAAGCAATGCTGGGCATGAGACATAATGACGCCGCACATGGAATTGAGTACCTCCATCTGTGCACCGCCGTCGGCGGAAGGAAGCGTAACCCCGAGCACGTGAGGAAGCCTAGCGTTGTGAGTGAGGAGAGAAAGGGAAACTGAAGCATCACCGATTGAACCATCGTCGTGAGTCTCTGTCGTTGTCTGGAGCATCGCTGCAAGCATGTGTCATCGTCTGGAGCATCGTCGTGAGCGTATGTCACCATCTGAAGCATCGTCACAAGTGTGTCGCCGTCTGGAACAACTCCACGAGCGTATGTCGTTGTCAGGAGCATCACCACAAGTGTGTTGTTGTCAGGAGCATCACCACGAGCGAGTGTCGCTGTCTGGAGCATTACCACAAGTGTGTTGCCATCGAGAGCATCACCGCCTGGAGTAACGCTGTGCACGGTTGGACAAGTGTGTAGTCGTCAGTGGTGTCAATGTCGTACCATACCTGTCAGCGCCGCGCGAGTGGCGCTAGCCACAGCTCTTTTCTTAAACACCCTGCAGCCACAGTTGGCCTCACCTACCCACGCGCCTACAAATCGCAACCCTCCTCACCCTCAGCATCATTTCCCTCTCTTTCCCTCAAATTTTCTCTTTCTAGAGAGCCTTGTGCTGCTGATTGCGAGGCTGCGAACTGGAGCAAGGGGCGACCTATGCGTGAAGGCCTAGGAGTGAGGCTACCATGGGGGAGCAAGTGGTGACCTGCGTAGGGAAGTTTAGGGGGCACCGTGACCCTTAGGTAAGTGGATTTAACGCTATGCCTTAAGATTTCCATGGAGTGATGGGATACGAAGAATAGGAAAATGGTAGGTTAAAATGCAAGAACATAGAAATACATGGAAAATAAAAAGAATGAGTATTCATCCATTGAAAATGGACTTCGAAAAATTATAAAGGAAATCTTCTTTCCATACTTGCTAATTCGACTTGTAAATGGTGTGTATGAATTTATTTAAGTTCTTTTTCTATGATGAGTGACTATTATTTGTCTTTCTCGTCAAACTTGGACTCAATCCTTTTATTTTAGGTAATCGAGCAAACCGTGGAAAAAGAACTTAAACAAATAGTCAACTAGTAGGCGAACATCGACAATCCCAAACACCAAAAATCCATTTTATATATATATATATATATCATCCAAAATGTTACATTTAGTTCAGGGCGTCTAGGACCAATATTACATATATCAACGAAGAACAAAAACCTAAGGTCAAATAGCCCAGACATAAACAAGATCTAAGCTCCTTCTTCGAGAAATCTAACTTCAACTTCCCATAGCAAAACACGAGTTCCAAGCCCTGAACCTGTTGCTATCAATCTATAAGGAGAGGAGAAATTATGGAATGAGCTATACAACTCAGTAAGTAGATCTAGTTCTATGCATCTATATTGATTATTTTTGTGTGTGATAACAGTTAAGTCCATCAATATAAAATCATAGTTTAGCACATATGAATATTAGATCAAGATAGCGAGTATGGACATTTCATTTACACGGCACTTATCACTAAATTTGTGCGATCATGAGCATTCAATCAGTGAAATCACTAACATTCAATCAGTGTAATCCTAAACATTCCTTATTCAGAAATTCGATCATTACCCACTCACTCCTTAAATCACTTATTCTCGCAGTAGAGGCCCTATCCATCAAGCTAGACCAATCCCATTTCTTAAGACCTTGACCATCATACAGGAGGTAGAATAATGACAAGTGGGGTGATCCACTTTGTAGTACCCTCAACACACTCACACTGTCCTCAGCGGATATTGGTGGTGTTCGATGGGCCCTTACCTTGCAAGGCATCAATCATTTTATTTCATTTCATGAATCTAGGGTGCCCTTTATCCTTTCCCTTAACCCATTCCTATCATTATGTAGGTTAGGAGATAAATCGGCATCACTTTCCTTACTATCGATGAGTGTCCCATCGCGTAGCAGGCAATACGATAATAATATCCACTACCAATAAGTGTCTCATCGTGTAATGGTCAATATTAATACAAGCAGTTGCCATCCATCACAATATCATAACCGTATCCACTACCGGTGAGTGCGCCACAGTGTAATGGTCAATATCAATATAAGCAGTGGCCATCCATCACAATATCATAGCAGCATCCACTACCAGTGAGTGTCCCACCACGTAATGGTCAATATCAATATAAGCAGTGGCCATCCATCACAATATCATAATAGTATTCACTACTGGTGAGTGTCCAACCATGTAATGGTCTATATCAATATAAGCAGTTTCCATCCACTACAATATCATAACAGTATCCACTACCAGTGAGTGTCCCACCGCGTAATGTTCAATATCAATATAAGCAGTGGCCATCCATCATATTCAAGTATTCAACTCATTCACATCAGTCAATGTCTTAGACAGATGAATCATATTTCATCATATCATCTACCCAAAGTCAAATTCATTTATTTCATAAGCTTTCAAAGGGAATTTGCACATACATTTTCTCAGTAGCAATGGCATTCATTTATGAATTCATTTCATCACTATTGTACTCGTGGCCCATTTTTCTCACATAGAGCAGTCATAAGACATCATTCACGTATCTTTATGGAATTCACATGAAATTCATCATATGGTATTCACATTTATCACATATTAAGAAAGCTCTGTGTTACATGGATGTAAATCTGGTACAATGACATGTAACAATGACATGCCCCTCTTGCGAGGGCGTAGCTCCCAATCTAGGAGAAGTTTCAGAATGCCTCAAACATGAAGCTTTAAGTTTACCCGTAGATCATTGCAAAGACAATAATTTGAAAGAATTTGGGCATGATTTGATGGGTATATAGCTCAGCACAATGTGAGCATTATTTGATGGAAATCTTTCTTGCAATAGTGCGCAATGACATGTTCACGTATTTCGGGGAATAATTCAAAATCCATGGGAAATTTTAAAAATATCAAGTACTTTGAGTGCATTCACAGACCTTTCCAATGGTGGAAATTTGAAGGTTTTTTGATGCCAATGGTTGGGTCAAAAGTACAGCTCAAAGAGGGCCATAGTTGCTGAAATTAGCAGCAACTGTGAGTGGTGTTGTGTCTCGACATCTTGGGCCATATCTTTTAATCCATGCACAATTTTACCATTATATAAAGAGTAAACATGGAGTAGACATATATGTCTTTCAATTGGGATCGATTTGGTCTCATTTGAATACAATTTGGCCATCGACCATATTGATACAAAAACAATCACAGTTCTGGAAATTCTTATTCTCAAGTTAACATGCTTTCAAAGAACACTTAATATTTCCTAGCCAAGCTACACTTTGGGCTTGGAACCTTGTTCATGATAAGGAGTCTCACATTGAACAATTTCATGAGTTTCCATAAATAGAAAGATCATATATGTGATAAAACAGCCATGGCATTTAGATGCATAAATTTGAAATTTCAACCTCACGTTAACCCATTCATGCTTCACGTTTTTTATTCTATCATCTTACCCATTCTAAATATTTGTTCTTTACATAAACCATGGATGCATAAAAGCTAAACCCACTTACCTTAAACTCCCACAATATCTCAAATGCCCACTCACTACCTTCACGGGCTTTCCCCTAGCTCCATCAGTGGGTTGTCTTCAAGGGGCAGTAATGAACTTCAAGAGAGAGAGAAAAAGTTGAGAAAATGGGAGAGACGGTGCTGCCCATGGGAGGAAAAAGCTTAAAAAGGAGAGGGTGATTGGAAAAACACTGTGGTTAATGCAATCGCATGCAGATCTGACACGTATGGAGCGACGCTGACAGGTGACAGCTGTAGAATTTGACCAAACAC